GTACACCCTTTTCCTTTCCTTTGAGTGGTTGTCTGGCACGATGGGGAAAGCTGATATAGCGCCATACTCTTTTGATTTCTTAAGAAAAGAATGTAAAAAATTATTTTTGATTGATTATGGTCAGGAGCTGTGATTTTTGAAGTTGTCTGTCTTCATATGCTACTTTTTTGTCTATATAAGTTATGCATATTTCCTTTTAATTTCTAAACCCAGTAACTGGAGGCCTCATTGGGAGTCTGAGCCTCACTCTTTTCATCTGTCTAAGGGGGCTAATAAGCCACAGGCCTTGCAGGGTTGCTGGCGTCCTGGGTGCCACTGTGGTGCCTCATAGGAGGAGGCCAGCTCTCAGCTGCGCAAGACCAGAGAAGTCACTGAGTCCAGCCTTCTGTGACAGATGAGAAAACTGAGGCTAGGAGTGTGAAGCAACACCATTCGTCCCCCTCAGTTTGTCCTCATGACTGAAGTAATCTTTGCCATACATCAGATCACTTTGTGACTCTGCTTCTTGGGAAACCACAGAGGCAGCTTTTACACAACAGTGTTTTCCTTGCCTGGAATTTCCCTTTCTTTTCGCCACCTGTCAGCTTCCTTACCCTCCTTTGAAACACATTCAAGTTCAATTCCTCAGGAAGGCCTTTATGGCTAATCCTGCAGGTGGATATTATTTCGTATCATTCACTCAAGTGAATCTTTCACTGTCGAAATTTGAACTCATTTGTATAGAAAACTCTTAGAAAACGCTTAGCTGTCCCCATTAGTTATCTGTAAGGGATCTGTACCATAAAATGCTGGTTTTGTAGGGAACGGGAACTTCCTTAGAAGAACACCGTATTTGTTAGCAGTGTAATGTTATTTCTGTGTTTTGAAAGAAAATGTCAACTGACAGTTATAATTAAACCCTCAATAAACACCTGTGCCATGTTTTTAGCGTATTAGCTCCTACTCACAGACCTTTGTTCTGCCTTTTATATAGTCACCTTTGAAGCCAGTAGGTCAGAGCTAAGGATTATGTTAAATAAATTGGGACAAAACTGTCCACTGATGTCTTTGCATCTGGATGAGTAAGCATACTGCAACTTTCCCCATGCTCTCATCTTTTTCGCATGCCATGAAAGTGGTGAACAAAATAAAAATACCAGCATAACTTGCAGAAGAAGTTATATGCAGACTGATTAGTCCATAAAAGATCATATGAAAGCCAGGTTAGAAGCTTTTATAATTCTAAACATGAATGAATGCACAATTGAATGAATGTGCATGAATGAATGCACCGTTGTTTCACTGTACAACATATCACTTTAATGTAATTTCAACATGAAGTTGAATAGAGAGCTGCTTATATATGGCATCCATTTGTAATCACATTTTCTGTGTGTGTGTGTGTGTGGCCCTTCTGGGAATAGGGGGGAAGTATTATAAGTGGCTCCTTTCCCCAGTGTGCAGACAAACGCGCGTGTTGGGTGTGTCGGCTCATATGAAATGACTGCAAGGTCTTAGTTTATATTTGGGGTGTGAAGGAAAAGAGATCTAATCGCATTTTAGATTGGGAAGGAGCCTTAGCTGTCATCTGTTCATTTTATAGATGGAAAACAGATATTCACAGAGATCAAAAAGTTTGCCCGAGGTTGTATTACTTTACATGCTAAGGCTCAGAGCTCTGCGTTTGTGGAGATGGATATCACTATTGATGCTTTTCTAAGAAACTGTAGTGTCTCGCTGCTCATTCAGGGACCTCAGAGTATTTCCTAAGTTGTTTATCTTTTGTATTTTGGATACTTAGAAAATTAGGTTGTTGACAGGGTTTGAGGCTAGAATCTTTTTCTTTGAATATTCTTTAGCATGGTATCCACAGCTGTTGTTTTTTTTCTGAGAAGACATCATAGAAAACCAAAAAAACTTTGTTTAAATTGGAATTTTATTATTTTTTTATATTGCAAAGTAAGTAATTTTTTTGAAAAGCCTTTGGGTAAAACATTTTTGAAAATCCAAGACAGTTTCAGTTTCACCTTGTAAGTGTTGACTTTAAGTTAATTGTGCCTAACTTCTCCTCTAAAGACTGGATCTTAATTTATCTTTCTATTCCCTGCAGCGCCTAGCACAGAGCAAAATGTTTAGAAAGCCCGCTTGGAGGGCAGTTTATCTGAAATCTCTCTGTCTGTTTTCCTACCCAAATCCTTAGTGAGAATTACTTCATCCTTCTGTGTCCCTGGCTTTTCTCGTCCATGTCATTGTGAACCAAGGGTCAAAGGAAACCTCAAGAAGAATTATTTGGACCTTTGAAATACAAAATGCCCTTCTGTATTTCTTACTGAGCAAAAATTAGATCACTGGGCCAGGACATAATTTTGACTCTTGTTTGTTGAAGTCTTGCCGCATGGCAGATACATATTCTTTGAGTACGGAGATGAGTTGGCATGACCCACTCACTACCTTTAAGCATGGAAACTCTAATAGGCGAGGCAGGTGTGTGCGCAGGCGCTGTGGTGGGAGGGTTAGAAGTGTTGCAGCCATACATGCACCCTTGATGTTTCTCATTAGTGACATATAGAAAGGTATGAATACCCTGGGTGGGATGAGTTCCATCACAAAGTAATTAGTTTTTTAAAAGTTAAATTTTATGTCTTAAATAGCTAACACTTGCCCATAGAGTAAAATCTGAAAGGTTGTATTATAAAACACAACCGCATAGCTTTTACTCACATGTCACTAGTTTTTGTGCTGTTATCCTTTTCATTTCCAGGATCCAATCCAGAAATGTCATACTGCATTTAGTATGTATGCGTTTTGAAATTTAATTTTACGCAAATGGTAACATACTGTACCATGCTTTCATTCCCCCTCATTCTACCTTACGGTTGTACTTTATTATCCAATTTCTTAATGATGGATTTGAGTTGTTTCCAATCTTTTGATATTATAGTATTAACAATGCTACCGTAGCTGTCCTTGAACTTGCAACTGTGCTTAGAGAGGAATTTCTGGGTTCAAGAATATGTATTGAATATCTTCATATCTGTACTAAGTATTGCTAAAGTGCCTTTCATAGACATAGTGCAGATTTACACTCCCACCAGCACTGTATGCCTCTCTGCTCCCTCTCCACAGTCGTGTGATTAGACCTTGTGATTCTTGCCAGTTTCGTGCCTGGAAAGAGGAATGTTGTTGCTGTCTTCCCAGGCCCCTCACTTGCCCCAGGAGGCCCGGCACACTGCTGCATGCTGAAGGGCAGCTATTCTTGCTGCGAACTGACCCCTGTGATCATTTCCTCGTTTGTCCAGCGAGATAAGCTCTTTCAATAAGAAGTTGGCACTTTGCAATGGGAGTGCTGGTTTTTCCCACTGGGTTTATATTTTGTCATTAATGATAAATGTTGCCATGTATAATTTTATTATTTTTGTATAATCAGCTTTATTAGTCTTTTACTTTATGTGTTTTGGATTTATGTGCTACTTAGTTAGAATAGTCTTATGCTCTCCAAGAGTATGAAAAATGTCTCCTGTTTTGTTTAATACTTTTGTGGTTTCTTATTTTAATTTTTAAAGTGTTTGATCAGTTCCCGGTTTTTTTGGTGTGAGTTGGTCTCCTATTCTCTTTTCCATGTGGCTGCATAGTTGTGCTTATACCATTTATCAAGTAATTTACCTTTTTTGCTCTGATTTTAAGTGTTGTGGTTTATCCTTCATCCCTCTATCTCCAAATTATTTTTAGAATTTTTAGTTTATCCTTTGATTTGATGGTCTGTTCATGAACCAGTTTCACGCTTTTAAAATCACTACGTATTTATAACACATTTTACTACCTTGCATGTGCTATTCTCCTTTGTTGGTCTTCTCTGTCATAATTCCTCGCATTATTCTCGCCCATTTTCTCTCCCTGATGAACGTGAGACTTAGATCCTGAATTTCCAAAGAATATTCTGCTAATCTTATGGGGATTGTGATAAACTTACATATTATGTTATATATTTTTTAAAACATTGATCCTCTAGCAATTTGTTTGGTATAGCTCAAATATTTCTTATATGCTGCTTTTTAAAAAAAGTTTATTTTAAAAGGATTTATTACTGATAATATAAATGGCAGTTGTTACACATAATCTTACCTTCCTAGCACAAAAAAATCTGCTTTCATATATTTCCTTCTATTTTCCCTATACTTTGGTGATGCTGAGTCATATTTGAGAGTCTTTATTTTATTACTTCATGTTCTGTAATTAGCACAGTGCCATCCATACAGAAGGTAAATGTTTTAAAAAACTCATTCAGTCTACTGTGCCATCCTTACTGGGAAGTAATTTGGGAGTACCTATTAAAATTTAACACGTATGCACGCACAGTGTAACCCCACAGTTGCACTCCCCGGCGTCTACCCTAAGGAAAATGTGCATCTTATCAGTGGGGCCTGGGCTCCATGGACAGTGGCAGGTACTGCTGTTTGCAGCACCTACTGTCACCCCCTTTCCTTTTAGCCACTGAATTCTGTTGAAGATGTTGAATCTTGTAGAAGTGGGTTATAGCCCATGCTGAGTACTTCTAATCTGGGTTTCCACCTTACCTTTCAGTTAAAAACAAAAACAAAAATGAAACTCCTCATCATGGTAATCCTTAGAAACATGTTAGAATCAGCTAAATGTTTTTTCCCTTTCAAACTTCTTAGATCATCACCTTCGTCTTCCCTCATTTCTGATCACTCCCCTTCCCTGCTGAAAATCACCATCATTAGCTGGCGTTCCTGATTGCAGTAGCCTTGATGAGGGTGTGGGGACAGAAATACTCTCAGTCCTCTGTCGCTGTCCTCCTGTTCTCGCCCCTGCGCAGTCAGCATGATGAATCCTGTTCTTCACAGAGATGAGATCAACGCCACCCACTGTAGCCCTTATATCTCTCTCCAGTCGTTTTGGGAGTACAGCTTCTTCCTTTCTGTCTGTGATCTCAACTCCAGACCCCATATCTGTGAAATCTTTATTTCTATTCCAGGAATTCCTTATTAAGCAAACGTGTGTGCGCGCGCACTATGGTGGGGGGAACATGATTGCTTTCATGTCATACAGACTTGAACCAAGGTTGCAACAGAACAGAAAATTGTTCTGTGCAGAGTCCTAGAAAAAAGGCTCCCTCATTGTCTTAGCATTAGGTTGCTGAGGAATGGAGAGAGGAGAGAATCATCTGGTAACCTGGGAATTAAGGGAAGCAGGGAGGTGGAATGGGAATGTTTAAAAAACTAAGCAGCTATTGGATCGGTGCCTGGGGCTTGGGTCATGCTTCTTTCTGCAGCATGCATGCCTCCCTTCTGGACCAGCTGGAAATCCGTGGGCTGGTTACTATGGGAATTGATGGGTGCTGCTGGCAGTGGGAGAAGGAAAGTTCTTGGAATTGATTCAAAAATCAGAGGAGAGCAGAGTCTTTTCTCCTCCCTCTGGCTTCCTTGCTTACTGTTCTTTGACTTGATTAACTAACTTGATTTTAGCTTGGCGAGAGCATTCTAATAGCTCACGTCTGGTGTCCCAAGGAGAGGTGGAGCGGGCAGACTTCACAGAGAAGAGGGCAGCACAAAGGATTGCTAACTTGCCCCATGAATTCTGTTTATAGCAATTGGCTCCTCAGGCTTTGGTGAACTCAGAATTAAATTCAAGCTTCTGGTTCTTTTTATATTGTCAAGGAATGTGCTGTAGAGAAAGAGAGGGGAGAGTTAATGTTTAATTCCAGAATCACAACCTTTCTGTTTTCTTCACTGCTACGACCCCTTATAAAATTGGGGGTGGGAGGAGCGGCATTCAGATTTTGTTAGAGGTTTGCTGATTCTGAAACGTTGGAGATAGAGAACAGATGTTATTTATTTATTTAATTGATTTTTAGAGGGCGGGGTGGGGGAGAGAAACATTGGTTTGTTGTTTTACTTATTCATGCATTCATTGATTGATTATTGTATGTGCCCTGACCGGGGATGGAACCCTCAACCTTGGCGTATGGGGATGACACTCTAATCGACTGAACTACCCAGCCAGGGCTGAAAACAGATATTTTAATGAGGTGATACTCACATTGGAAAACAGTGAGTTCAAATATATTTTATAAGTCGACCTTCATTAGTTTGATTAATCAATGACTTTAAAAAGCCCTGCCATAAAAAATAAAAAAAATATAAAGTCCTAGCATAGTACATGCTAGTTTATTTTTATAACTACTCATGAATATGGAATGTAGAGCACTGATTTATTTTTCTAAGAAAAGTATTTGTCTTGGGGAGAGGAGAATATTCAAGTACCGTGGACATTATAAAGTTTGACAGGACAGAGAATTTCTCCCCCGACATTTTTGGTTTCAGTTCACTGTTTTCTGTTGTTTCTGATTCTGTTTCCACTAATGAAAACCTCATTCGGGGAAAACTTTTCTGCTTAATTTTTGAGCGATTTGGTTGGATCCCTGCCCTGGCGGTGAGACCGCTGTCTAGCCCTGACGAGGGGTCTGAGAGGTGGTGAGTCACTGGCAGAGTGGCGGTGCAGCGTTCACTCACCTCCTGATTCGGGCGATTTCTTTCCACGACCTCAGCACTCCAGTTTAATTCATTCAGTTCTGGCTCCCTGGTGGGGAGGAGGGACTGGAAGGGAAGGCCATTGCCCAAGGACCTCGCCCGCCTTCAGCTTCTGCTCATGGAGGTAGTGTGATGAAAGCAAAGCGCAGGGAAGGGTGTGGTCCACTGTGCTGGGGATGAGCCCCTGCAGTGTGGTGGTGGCTGGCTCCAAGGTCAAGTGCTCTGGTAAAGGTGGCTGATGTGATTTATTTTTCATAGTGGATTTGAACTTTATCTTTAGCTGTATATTGGAATGAAATTGAAATTGTATAAGTCTTCAGAATTTTGTCAGCTTGGTGAGTTCATGGCTATGAGAGGACTGGAAACATGGTGTTAGTCTCATAAATCTATTTGATTAGTGATAATTCTATGACTTATTTTACATATACAGCCACAGATGGAGGTTATTTATGGGTCTCTTTCAGATGCAAAGTCTTGCATGGGGAGTCTTTCCCATGAGGCATAAGGCCAGCCAAAGCATTTACATGGGACTCCTTCATGGCCTTCTCTGGGCTGGCTTCCCTGGTCCCCAAAAAGGGAACTCCAGCCAGGCCTCTGGTGGCTGATGTCCTTGTATTATGGCCTAGAAGTTCCCAAAGGGTTCTGATTGAACCTTTAGCCATCTCGATTATTTGTAAAACTATGCCCATCATACTGCTATTTGGAGAGGACTATACTTTTATACTTATTAATAAAAATGTTTCTCATTTATTAATATCAATGTAAAGAGAAAATTAAACTAGTTAGGACTGATTGTAAAGCATGGTTTTTCTTTTCTATTTTTTTTAAAGATTTTCTTCTTTCTTTATTTATTTTTAGAGAGAGGGTAAGGAGGGGGAGAGAGGGGGAGAGAGAGAGAGAAACACCAATGTGTAGTTGCCTCTCGAGGGCCCGCCACCAGGGACCTGGCCTGCAACCCAGGCAGGTGCCCTGACTGGGAATCGAACTGGTGACTCTTTGCTTCACAGGCCCACACTCAATCCACTGAGCTACACCAGCCAGGGCTGAAGCATGCTTTTTCATTGAGCCTAGAAGTGGTGGCACAGGAGGATACAGTCTGTAAGATTCCTACACTCAGGTACCAAGTTTGTCTTGTTCTTCATTGTCTGCTTTTGGTGTGTGGGACACAGTGAGTCCTAAGTAAATGCTTGTGGAGTGCAGGGGTGATCGTTGCTGTGGAGTAGCTATTGCAGTTGATGGAAAAACTGGTGAGGCTTTCAATTAAGTCGACTTTCTCCTGGTTCTACAGGTTTTGTTAGTGATAAAGGGTTTTTAAACACGTTTTTGATAGATTGCTTCCAAATGTTAATAACACTTTAAAATTCCTTTTACATAATATAACCAAATGGAACAGAAGTAACTAAAAATATAAAACCTTGTAGGCTAATTTAAAAATTGTAGAACATGTAGTATTTCATCTTCTTCCATTCTCTTTAGAAAGGGTCGCATTAAGATATCTGCCTTCTGGCCAAGATTTCGGTTACTTGACTCAAAGCCCAGTGTTTAGATGGAAGTGCAAGAAAGTTTGCACAAGCAAGGAACAGTGATGAGACTTATTCTGCCCCTAGCAAATTGGAATTTATTTTTGTAATTCTAGTAATTAATGATGAAAAAATGTTATTTTGTTGACATTTAATAGAAAGTTAATGTGTGTTAATACTAAGCATTTGTTTTTCTGATAAAGCGATACGTAATATAAGGAAAAGGTGATTATTTGGAGATTCGATCATCCTAGTAGAACCTTACGTTTCTTCAGTATAATGTAGCATCGTCACAGGACACGTTGCGCATGAGCTGCCTATTGGACTATCCTTTGGACGCTTCTGGACACCATTCCTCTGGGAGCCAGGATACAGAAGTCGGCGAGGAGATAAATTTTATGCTTATAGCTTTTGAGTTAAAAAGTTCTCTCAGATTTTATTTTTATACCGTGAGAAATTTCACAGGGCCATTCTGTCTCCGAAAACATTTAGCCTTTTGTAATAGCATGCTGTAGCCGTGCAGCCCAGTATCCAGAGTGAAGGACAGGGTGACTCACCACATGTGAGACCGTAGTGGAACTCTGGATACTGTCTGTTGTTTTGAATACTTTTATAAGGAAATAATCTTTTAGGCCAATCAATATATCAATTTGGAAAACTGCTCGCATTTCATTATTGATAAAGAGCTTTACCTTTTTATACTTGTTGTAGTTTCTCATAATCCTTCTGATGGGATTTGAATGAGTAAAAGCAAAATTGGTTTCAAATGGAAGCCACTTGTGAAATTGAAGATTTTAATGTGTTCAAGATGATTTACACAATAGAACCCTTGGAAAACAAACAAATACGTTTGCAGGAGCCCTTCCTTGAGACTGTGTCTCGATTAAAGAATTTTCTTGATGTTTACAATCTTGTTATGCTAAGTGGGTTAGGCAGAATAGTTTCTACTGCATGGAATTTATTGTTTTTTATTTTTATACTCACCTGAGGAGATATTTTTATTGCTTTGATAGAGAGAAAGAGGGAGAGGGAGAGAGAAAGAGAAATATTGATATGAAAGAGAAACATCAATCAGCTGCCTCCTGTACAGGCGCCAATGAGGGATTGAACCTGAACCTAGGTGTGTGCCCGGACTGGGCATGGAACCTTTTGCTGTATAGGATGACGCTTCAACCAGCTGAGCCACCTGGCCAGGGCTCTACGGTATAGAATTTAGATTTGTGAGACCAAACATAATATCTACATGTGTATGCACCTATCTGTGGCATGTATGTATATCTGTAGGCATAGTTACAACAGCCTTTTTCTTAGAAAGGAAGTCAGTAGGTACAACTTCCGTACAGTGGTGCCATACTCACCCAGTGCAGACCCAGACGCATCCTCCTGGTGCGGAAAGTACTTGCACAGAGACCCCCTCTGCGCAAGCTCTGTGGAGTCCATCCTTTGGTGCTTGTGTCGGTGGGAGGCAGGAGAAGACCTAAGACCCCCAGGGGTTAAAATAACATGTGAAATCTAGACAGTTTTGGATATGTTTTTCTTTGCTTATCAGTTTTTGTCCCGACAATCCTAGTATAGTCATCAAAACAAAACAGAACGAGGCATTTATAAAGGTTAGATGTCAGTGGTGCTAGAACGTTCCTTTTAGTGTGTTTTTAGACACTCTGAACCTGGGGCTCCAGTTTCTGTGTGTGCTTAGCAGGTGTGTCAGAGACAGCCAGGCAATTCATGTCCCTGAAAGTAATATCCGTGGCCACCTCTTAGGTGCCCAGAGCCTTGACAAATAGTGTGGAGCTACAGCCCGTCCCAGTCCTCTGGGACACAAGAATGGGTCTATTTACTTCAATGGGACCAGTGTAAAATTCTCAATCAAATTAGCATTCATTGTGAAGAAAATAGAAGTATGCCATTCTGTGCTTTTCCTGGGGGTTATAGGAGAATGTTTTCAAATCAGAGAAACTCCAGAACACAGAGGCTTAAAAAATTCCCAGACTTTGCTGATTCGTGGTTGTCAGAACAGGCAATGAATGGGCATCAAACTTTTCAAGGCCTGAGACTATTTCCCATCTACAGTTCCCAGGTTTTATTTCTTTTGCTCATCCTAGAAGATCAGGAGATGTGATTGATTTTTTTGCAAGTAGTTTGTGTCTTGAGCAGGACTGTGAGAAACAAGACTGACCTCTTTTCCTTCGGTTCCTGGGGAGCGGTGTTGACATTAGGTGCTGCTGGGCCAGGCCCGGGAGGGGCGTGCTGCTCACGCCTTTGTTTGCCCAGAGAGGACCGCCTGCTTGGACTCTTCGGACTTTACCCCCACATGCTGCTGAGGGCAGTTTTTGTATCATGTGAAGTAATTACGAGTGGCGCGTGGAGCTTCAGGAGAGTTTAAAGGTGCTGATTATGTGGTCCTGGCCAGTAAAGTCTGGAAGGGGGAGCTGGCTTCTGGCACTCGTTCTGCGCCCATAAGAACCAGCTCCTAAATGTGGTGGTGGGGGAGAACCTTCACCCCAGGACCGATTGGTGCCCAGAGTTAAAAAGCTGAGCAAAAGCTAGCAGATGCCAAGTTTAAGTATAACATGTTTGTGAGAATGAACTTTAAAATTGGGCTTACATTCTGTTTGGGGAGAGGAAACTTTTTCGCGTGAAATAGTTAAAATTTTAGTGGAAGACAGCATATAATCTAATTGCTTCATTGGCAGTTTTTACTTATCCAAGATTAGAAAGAAAATCCATTTAGCAAGCTGAAAACACAACTAGAATTTTTGACTCTCTGAACAGGGGGAAAGGATGTAAATTAGAGAAACTCTTCTTCAGAAAGTGTGACCTCTTCCATGTTCCCTGACATGTTGAGTATTCTCAGTTGTCTGAGGCTTTGATGGGAGTCTAGGATTAGAATCAAGGTGCATTGTCCCTCATTTGGAGAAAATACTTATTGATGTGTGTCTGCCCTACGTATTAAGCAAGATAAGCAGTTTTCCCCTGTTGCTAGTCCTGAGATGAGAGAAGTTATGAGCCAGAGCTGAAGCTGAATCCTGTACTCCTACCCTGATCACTGTTCCTTTCCTGGGGATTTTCTTTAAAATACAATCTGATGTCAGCCCAGCAGACTCTGTTCTCAGCGGTAAAGGGAGCGACAGTCTGGCAGTCTCTCTAATTGGTTGTACTGGTGGCTCACGGTTTCAGTGCATGTGTGCTATGTGGAGATATGCATTTGGAATTAACATGGCTCAGCATAATTATTTCTTACTTAAATGTGCGATGCTCTGATGAGTCTAAAAGTCTTTGTTGATGATAACAGTTGGATGCAAGTATTTTCTTACCCAGCTGCTGTTGCAAAGTACATTTCCCTCTCAGATTTTGTTGTAGTTGTACCAAATGAAATAAGTAATATAGATACTAGGTAATTTAACAGAATTTTCAATTAAAATCAAATAGTTTTTCACGCCTTTCTGTTTATTTTAAAGGATTTCTTTTTTCTGACCAGGTAATAGACGCTAATTTTAGCTAATTTGGAAAATAGAAAGGGACAAAAAAGAAACACTCATCCTTCTAATGTTAATATTTTCTCGATTAAATTATGAAAACTACATTTGAAAGCACATTGCCAGTTGATGAGCTGAGTAGATCCTGCGGCTAAAGAGGGCTGGCATCTAATCAGACAATGTCACGGGACAGGCGTTGTGTGCCTGACGTCTGTGATCTGCCAGCGCCGACCACAAGGAGGAAGTAGTGCCAGGGGCCTTTGTGTGCATGCGTTTGAGGTTGCAGAAGCCTGAACCGGACACTTTACCTTCTGTTAACTTCTACATGAGCATTGTAGTGAAAGGAAACTTTCTAAGACATAAGAAATAAAGAGTAAAGCTTAAAATTTACTTTATTCAGAAGTTCCTATCTGAAATAAGGTGGAGTTTAGCTCTGCTATGCTGCATTTGGTTGCGGCGCCCAAAATGAACTGTGCTGCCTCGGTTCAGTCAGGTTTCTCAGTGCCTTGGGGTTGCCTTTAACGTGACCTCAAATGCTTGCCCCCAAATTCCGAGTTCTGCCAGTGGAAGGCTCCAGGTGTGATATCAGCATCATTAGGTAGTGGAGAGTTTACCATGCAGTTACTTTTTGTCTAGCTGTTCTGGGATTTTGGAAAGGCGTATAGTTTTGATTTTTTGTGTGTGTGAATAACATCCAGAATATTCATGTATTGTCCACAGTTACGTGACTTAGGGCTCACTGTGAAAGTTTATTGTTTTCCACAGTTTATGAGGTTCTCTGGTCAAAGACAATGTATGCCATTAGCTTTGTGTTTTGTGGCTAAAGATGCTTTCTTGTGGCCTCCAGGACCAGCCCTGTGAGGCAGAGGATGGAGCCGCTGCTGTCCTCCCATTTTACAGATAAGGAAGCTGAAGAAGCTTGTCTGATGCCCTTTGGCTCTTACAGGGCAGCTGCTGTTCTTTTTCCCCCTTTCTTCTGGCTGTCTTCCTGGTAGTAAAAACACCATCCACACCAACGACTGTAGTAATAACGAGAGCTGAGCTTTACTGATTGATCACCATGTCCAAGGCAGTGTTCTGAGTGCTTTGCATGTATTGACCCTCATCTCAATCTTACAGAATGGGTATTGTGCTCTTTTTAGAGACTGAGGCATTTTTAACACTTGTGTCAGAGGGTAATTGAGAATCATAAATGAAACTATGTAAACTCTAAGCAGGTTCTGAGCTCTCTCAGTAAATGATAGTAGTTACAATGATTATAGCATGTGTACAGTTATAATTTCTGCTTATATATCATCATCTTCATTAGCATTGAGTTCATTGTCCACGGTTGGTACTGTTTTATTGTTACTGCTGAGTGATCCATTGAGCATATATGCAGCTGTATTCTGGGTTTTAGGGTTTGATTTCAGTTATGCTCTCCAGCATCTGGCCAATCAAGTTGTCATGTTTAAATCCGTATAGACTGGTGCTATACTGAACCCATAGAGGCCTATAGTCTGGCCACCCACCCCCATGCCTGGGGCACTTTCCACAGGTTGAGTTGTGAGGCATGAGCACACTGACCTCGACCTTTGTGCTAACTCCAGCCACTGGGAGTCTGTACTCTAAGCATCAGTTCCAACCTTCTGACTTCAAAAACAAGTACAGCATGAATTTTCAAGTTGAGATAAGGAGAATGTTGTTAAATTGGCTGAAAAGAAATTTGGGAAAGCTGAAAATATTTTTGCATTAGGATGTTCTGTTTCCCTTGAACTGCAGCCAAGAAACTCTTCATAATAGCCTGCATTTCAAATCCAATTGTACCAAAAAAAAAAAGTGACAACAGTGTAAGTGTAGCTGTTTACTTTCTTAGTTTTCTCCCTTTTGAAGTTGGGGTGGGAGAATAAGGCCCTTACTCTTACTCGCATGGGATGTTTCCCCTTGGAGTCAGCCTGTGTCTCCCAGGGTCGGAGACGTCCCGATGGCGTCACCACTGTGACCTGAGTGATCTTCATGGTGATGGAAGCCAAAGGGGCACCAGAGGGCAGCTGCCATTTTTGGTCCTACGGTTTTGATCTTCTTTGCTATGTCCAGGATGAAGGCTCTGTTTTTAATTATCGCAAACAAACATGACACTAACTTGAAGAAAGGATCAGGAAATTTAGATACTAATTTTAGGTTCAGTCCTGTAGCTCAGGGTGGATGGCTTGGTTGGCCAGGAAAGAGAACTCCACTTGGCTTTTGTTTTTTCTTTGTACCAGTGAAGTGACATTAGTTTTCTTGGGCAGGGCAATTGAGATAATGGCTAAAATTAATCCTCTTTTGCTAGGGAGCCGAATTATCCTTTATAGGGTATAACTAATGTTAGACCTGAGGCTATACTTCTGGCAACAGGGAAGTCTCTAGGTGCATATTTTCCTTGTTGTTCAGATACAGAGCACCTGGAACTTACGGGGTTTTTAATAGAAAACCATGAAAGTTCAATATGTTTAATTGGATCTTAGGAACTAAGAATGTCTTTACTAGCAAAGAATGACCACTTGGGTATTACAAAATCACAACTACTGGCTCAGGGTGGGATGGAGGTGGGGAACTGCCCCAATTAAGCATGATTTTTTCGGTGGGAGTGGGGGTTGAGGAAGGGTAGGGATATGGGGGATGCGCCAGTTTCTTGCCATTGTTCTCCCCTTATTTGTTCCGCTGTGTGCGCTTTGTTGGTATTTGCCAGCAGAGAGACCCTGTGGAAGAAGCCAGAAAGTTGATGAAAGTTCCCCAGGAGAAAAATCTTAAAATTGAGAAAATTTTCTCCTACCATTTTAATTTGTTTTGTGAATAGGGAAGAAGATCTCTATTATCTTATTTATTTTTAAACAGGGTTTAAAAATGGTTGGTATATGTTTATTGGAAATAATGCAAGCAATAATAGAAAACTTAAAGTAAAAATTACCCAACTCTTAACACAGAGATGTAGTTAATATTTTTCTAAAATATTCTTATGTAATTTTTGTACACATATAATATAAAAATACATATGTACACGTACAGTTTTTTATTTGGTTTTATATTCTGTCATATTCATTGCAAGGCCTTATTGATTTTTTTTAATGACTCCTGCACTGATGTCATAGATTTAATTTATCGATATTTCTCTGGATGTCTATTTATAGCTAGAGAGGATTTTCTCTGGGACCCTGTACCCATTTATATAAAATGCTCTAAAATCTTAGTAAGAAGATGAGTCTATCAATAAAGCAAAACTTCAGAGAAGTTATTGGTTCTGGGCAGCCAAATTTTTCATGCAGTTAAGCATTCATCTAACTAATGAATACTAAGATTTTTAAAAATAGCGTCAATGAAAAATTTTCTAGAGTGTATCAGACACATTCTAGCTGCATACTTTGGCCCGGGGAATTTATCCTAATGAAATAGAGACATCTACAAATATATCTGTACCACGGTGTTCACCGCCACGTTGTGTTTGAAGGTAAATACTTGAATATATTATGCAGCAATTTATGACCATATTCAATACTGATTCAACAATGCCACCATGAAACTTTTAATTCTAAAATATTTGGAAGAAGGGAAAATAGTCATAGTATAATAAAAGAAAAATGCTTGCTAGGAATTGTACACAGTACCAATTTTATTAAGAAAAAACACTCTGCTCTTTCAAATATATTTATGTATTTTTATCCTTACAAAAACATGTGTAGATGTATGCACTCATAACTTCATGCTTTCTCTCATTCAAACAGTGTGGCATCCACGTAGAAAAGCACACAGGTCCTAAGTTTTCACCT